CTACTGAATGAATGAATGGGGAAACCAAATTGCAGTGAAGTTGAAACCTTAACTAAGACTAAGACTAAGAACAGAGACCATTATATTGGCAAAATGGCTCCCATTTGAGGACAAGCTATGAAGATTTCTAGCTGATTAACTGTTTTTTTGTTTTTTAACAAATCCAGCAGGTTTTACACTTATGTGACTTAAAGCGTCACAACTTGGGTGCATATCATCATTATGTTGATTTACCATTATACATCATCCTTTGAGCTTGTAGTTTAGTCCTTCATTCTATCCTGTGCAATTCTTTCCATGAGTGTTGAATTAAGAATCACAGCACCTGGAACATTCCCATAAGCGCTCTGTTCCCATCAAAATAACACCAACTACCCAGGAGTTCTTGAGCGATGCTTGCCACTTTGCAAAGAGCGCGCCTGTTTCCACCTTTCCATATCATGGATCCCATTTCAGGGCCTGTATGGTGTGTCTCCGTCCTATTCTCTTCATGATGTACCCAAAATATTGCCATATCCAATGGGACAAATCCCAGATACCTCCTTTAACCTCCTAGAAGGTTATAATTGCAACACCTGTAAGGGTCATACCAAGCGAACTACTACCCAGCTGTACCTTTGTGGCCACTGATACCACCAGTTCTGAGTTAGTATACCAATCTTCTCTGGCTACCTGTTACTACCCTGCAGTACCTTTGTGGCCACTGATAACACCAGTTCTGTGTTAGTTTACTCACCTTCTCAGGCTTTCTGTATACTGTTCATGTCGGGCAACCCCTCTTTTGATACAAAGTTCTTGTAGTCTTGTCAAGGTTGTCAATTCACCCTCTTCTCCTGAATCAGCAATTCATCCTGCCTTCTTAAGCAGCTTGGTCCACTGCTTTTTTCTGTGTCTTAAACATGTTTGTAATAAATACTAGTTAGTTAGACAACAGATTATCCTCACTGCTCATCAAACCATTCAGTCCATAAGTGCTTGGATCTCTGCCTTACTAAATCCCGCAGCGGCTGACGACACCAGTTCTGTGTTGGTTTCTTATTCTTTTCTTGTCTGGCCACACCCCTTTTTATTTGTATTCATTATAAACGTGTTTAATACACATAAATATAAAGAGTCTTACTTACATTTTGATAGCCTTCCTGTGTGGGATCCAGATCTCCCCCCCCCCTTTCCACCCCCTTACATGTGGGGAAGACTGACCCACTGCCTCTCAGTAAGCAAGTCCTAAAGGTGATTAATGAAGGGTCTGCTGAGATCCTATGTGCTGTGGTAAAAGATACATATATTGCAGCCTAGCTGTAAACCATAACACAATGTGCAAACCAGATAATAATTCAGCCCATAGCTCCAGCAACGTTCCCAAGGGATCTTCATAAACATTCCACTCATGATCAAACAATGCAGCCTTGAAACAAACCCATGACCTTAGGAGTGGGAGGCATGATGACCATGATGCTATAGAGACTACCAAAATAAAAGATGTGTGATTAAGATTCAACAGTGGTCTTTGGTCAATTTTTATCCTAAACCAACACGACCATTGAATTAGTAAGCCAATGAACACATAAACTTACAGGCAAACAAAACAATCAGGAATGTGAGACAGACACAGTTTTAAAATAAAAGCCAGAATTGTTACTGAAGAACCAGAACAAAACCAATGTCAATATTTCATGGGTAATTGACTGTGAATGAATGTTATAGATGAACAAATAAAGGTGGGGGAAAAAATTTGAATAATGTCAACATGTTTTCACTTTAAAAGAAACAAAAAAAAAACACTGTGTGTGTGTGTGTGAGTGAGCATGGCATAATACAGGGTACTGTTTTGTTGAGTCACCATTTGCAGTTGACTGTCTGATCAGATTCGTCCACTTCTGATGGTCACGTGCACTGGACATGTCTTCAAATCTTAGGCCCTTCCAGTCGGCCACATTTTTAATCCAGGTCCTAGCCTGTATGCCAATTTGGCTGACAACTGGGCTTGAGGGAGAGCAGCCCTCACACCCCCCTCCCCTCGACCCCCCCCCCCCCCCACACATTATATACAACCATGCATACAAACTAAACAAAAATATATATGATAAATAAGGTACAATTTTAACCCAATGTAGGCAAAATATAAATACAGCATAATGATGTCCAAGCCATTTTAAAACAAAATAAACATCAATGTTATTATTATTTAAATCTAAATTATTCTACAAGTGGCTCCGTAAAATTTAAATTAAGGTATTTATTTCTTCTTTAGTGATTGTGAAATGGATAATAACTCCCATCTTATTTTTCTACAGCGCAAATATGATAAAATCACACACCAGCGTAAATGCACATTTACAAAATCACAGTGAGAACAGTTTAAATCATCACAACCGAAACACAATAGCATAATAAAGAGTAATAACAATCTATTTAACCGTCTATGTAAAACAAATTAAATAAACAATAACACAGTTAATAAATACAAGTATTTAGTTCAGGAATATCACTGAAACAGTCAAACATAAAAATGGAATCTTATGATTCATAAGAAATGGCAAATCTTGAAATGTAACAATACATAATGCAGAATGTAAAAAGTGTTAATGCACCGTGTGTCCATCGATATCTCCGTGCGGGTGCCTGGGCCCCATTTTGGAGAGAAAAAGAATACACCTTTTGTCCCTTAGCAGGCATGTCGTAAAAGCTGACCAATGAAAAGTGTGTTGAAATCAGATGTAATGGGCCCAAAAGCACAAACACTGAAAACCTAGTTCATGAACATAATTAGGCAGCAATGTAGGCAAAGCTTTAGGAACATACTGTATACGACACATAATCTTATTGTATTACGATAAGCATCATCATGTGACCTGCATACTGTATGAGTGAGGCAATTATGGATCACCGTATAACATGATCACCAGAATCAGGGAAAAGGTCAGTACTCTTGTCACAGAAGACCCATGTTGCCAAGCCACCCAGGAATTTATCTCTTTGGCATACCTCTCCCCATTATTCTTGTCAGTTGTCACCAAGTTCTTGAGTCTATCCCTTCTCATAACACACCCAACGATACTGAGAGAATTCAATAAGAAAACAAAAGTCAAAAGGACCTGTGTAGTCTCCGGAAATCAAAGAGCTGATAAACTAGCCAAGGAAGGTGCAAATGAAGAACAACCTGACGTAACAGTCTCTTATCAACAGAAGAAGAGAATAAAAAAATCAATCAGAATGCCACCAAAACCAGCAAAAAACGATTTACGATATAATGGACAAACCAGAGCAAGTCATTAATCTACGCCTTAGAACAGGGCACAACTGACTTCGCAGGCCACATGTACAAACAATTTAAGATTGGCAAATCAGCCATGTATACATCTGGGTTAGCACCTGAGACAACAGATCACATACTCCAAGACTGTCCCATGTACAACATACCATGTCAAAACTTGTTGACCACGAGAAAACCCGGTGCAAGCCAAATTGTACGGGTCACTGATTGAATTACAACAGACAGTGAAGTTAATACTAGAGACAGAATTGCAGATATAGATAATCTATTTCAAGCGAACGAAAGAAGAAGAAGAAGAAAAAGGAGCCTTCATAGCACTAGAAAAGTAGTAGAAAATAATTCAAACTAGAACAAAACTTAGAAGACATTTAATCTGTACATTAGCTATAAAATACTCTCAATATTCTGTGGAATCTTTAAGGAGTTATTAGAAGGGCTCCTTTTCACCGAATCCCTGCGATGGGATTTTATTGTTGTGTGAATGATAAGTGGTTGGAAGAGCCGAATGTAAGATGGAGGCATCCATGCTCAATTTGTGACCCTCCAAGAATAATGTCTGTAGTTAAAAGATTAATGCAAAACTGTGGAGTGCTGCAATGATTCAATTCAGTCAACTGAACAACTTAATTTAAAACCGTGAAATGCTGCAATAAATCACTCTAGTCAACCACCTGATCTCTGTGTAGACAAAACAATAGCAGAGACAACGAACAAACCTTTTGAAATGAGAAGAAAAACAGAAACAGGCCACAAAAATGCAGCCATAATTCAAATTCTCATAAAATAGACTGTTTAGGACAAAGTCCTAAATTTACACCATTGTCAACTTGCAGATAAAATTCACAATACAAATGATGAAGATGTGATCCAATAATTCCGTAAATTATTAAATAAAACATGTTGCCATTTGAAAATATATCTGCTTAAATGGGGAACAGTAATCTTCTTCCGAAACTGTGTTATCAATGTTGGATTTGGTCCCTTCCAAAATTTCTTCCCAAAACTGTTACATATGAGATGCAATACATGAGAAAGTCTGTTGTGGATTCTATAAAATACAGAATGGGAAATAAACAAAAAAGAAACAAGCTTACTGAGAGAACACATTATGTGGTTTTGACATCTCACAAACAAATCATCTGATCAGAGAAGAAACGATGCTTAAAGGCAGGAGGATTGACACAATTACACCGGGTTTGATCCAGTGTGGCTTGGTTTTCTCCGCAGTGTTGCCGGATGCCTGCTGACAGCATCAACAAAACACAAACTACGAAGCTCCGGTGGCAACACCCCAGGCAGCTCCAAAGCAAATGCACTCACAAACTAAATGGTAGAGCCAAAACAGAACCCATAAGCTCTTAGTAGGAAGCAAAAGGCCCTAACCACTTCGTTGCGGGAAGCCGCCATGATGTAGCGGCTAGATGCTCACATGCAGATCGGAGATTCGGGTCCTGACAGAACCGAACTTTTAAAAAATAATGACCCTAGTTCCCAGGTTGACTCAGTCTTGAGTGGGTACCAGGTATAGTCCTGGGAAGTAAAGGCGGCTGGCTCTCCAGTCTGCGGGAAATTAGAGAGAAACTGAACTAGCACAGTTATACATAAACAAATAAAACTGTAGGTGTTGTGATGAACTGGAAATAACAGATTAAGCTTTCGTTAATCAAAGCATACAGCAATAAGCGGTAACAGATGGATGGAGGTTTCACAATGAGTTTTGTCCTGGTCATGGGTTGGCCGGATATGAATTTGGGCTGACTTCATTTGTTATCAATGTTTCTTTCAACTCCACATCATTCCCCCTGGCTCGGGATATCATTGTGTCTCTGTCGGCTCTGCAAGAGAAGGAACAATTTAAAACAGAGTTAAGTTAGTGGCTGCATCAATAAATACCCAGTGACTTCTGGTCAATATGGTGGATAGGCGGGCTTAACATTTTTTAGTTGTGGCAAGTTTCTGCTCTAGACATTAGTTAGCCCGCACATTTTCCTCCATAGGCAGACTGAAAGAATATAGTTCCCTTACCCAGCTTCTGAGCTGAATGCATCACGTGACACAGTGAGCTGTGATTTCATTCGCAATGCTTTTCGACTGTATCCCACTTGGTTTGTTTTGGGAACTGCAGATTCAGAAAATGACTAGTGGCCTGTTGCCAAATAACTGGTGGTGGTGCCTTATGCGATTAACTGCATGTGTGATCAATGATCTGCTGCTTCCATTGATGATAAACTGCATTTCTTGTACAGCACTGTCTGTGTTGGCACTTCTGATGGCTGCCTTATGTGTATGCTTTTGTCACAAGGGACAGTGACAAACAATCTGTTTGGTTTCTGCTGGCACCGGAATGGAGCAACTATAGGGAAACCCATTTTCCATGAAGTTGGAACTAGGATTACATAAATAATCTGAATACCAAAATATCCAATGGGTTGTTGCCTAGAGGTGGGACACCATCATGATGTGGTATACCCAGGTGGGACACCATCATGATGTGGCACACCCAACAGCAGTCCCAATGTTTCCTCTTCGTCATCTTCCTTTTCTTCTTCTTTGTGTTTCAAATTTTGTTACAAGGAACTGCAGTAAGCATTCTGTGTGGCTCTCTCACTGGAGCTGGAACAGATCAACTATGGGGTGACCTGTATGCCGTGAAGAAGTTGGAACGGTAATTAACTGATTAAATGATAAAGTCACACATCTTAGTTATCCACTATTGCCTGCCACAGATCACAGACATATCTCCCTGTGGAAAAGAGATATGAGTCTGCAGTCGAATACGAAATCATGAAATCAGACAAACGCTAGGAATAAAGTGAGTCTTACAGGTCATCAAAGAACAACATATGAAGTGGTTTGGACACCTAACAAGAATGCCCTGGTACTATCTGCCACAGCTAGCCACACTAAAACGTTACAATGGGTATAGAGCGAGTGGAAGACGCTCGGAAAATATGGAGTGATGGCATTCTTCTTCTTCTTTGCGTACACCAGCTGTACACTCTGGCGGAAAGTTCTTGTTGCTCGTCCATTACTGAACTGCAGTCCTGCTCCAGAACCTGAGTGTTGCGTGTGCATCAGTTTTACAAATCTCATTCTCTTGAATACAGACTGTTGATGCACTCCGACTTCAAAGGAAGCTCCCCAATTAGTCGACTCTTACGACATGCTTTTGGGGAGGCAGTGGGTCTATTCTTGTTTTCCCCACAATGGGGCCCCGGAACCCACACGGGGGAGTGATGGCATTAAGAACAGCCTTACAGAAATGAACATCAGTCTTAATAGTGCTCTTGACAGAGCTCATCAATGAACACTACATCTCCCCCCCGACACTTCGATGAGGTACAAGGTGGAAGAGAAGAAGAAGAAGTCTGCAGTCATCTCAATAACAACCCAAAGATAGTTACCCCATGGCAGCTAATGCTGTGAAGGAAACAAGTTAGTATAATAGCAGGGTCAGACTTCATGAAAAGACAAAACTCAAAATAGTCTGGCCAAGCTTTATGACTGCCAAAAGACTACTTGATAAAAAAAACAAATATGCTCACCTACAAAGAGGAAAAGCAACCACACTGAGCTACGACTGAACTCAGATACAATGAGCAACAAAACAAAAAAATGTTACTCACATAATTAAGAAAAAAGTTATTTAATTTTGTCCAGCTCAATTGAGAGAGGAAAAAAAAAAAACAATTTTGTTTAGCAACAATGACACAGTGAGACAAATAACACAAATTGTGCCACTGCTATTCTGTGTGTGTTAGGGAACGTATTTTTTATACGCAGGTGTGGACGTGTGTATGTGTACATGCAAGAGGTGTGTGTATGTGTACATGCAAGAGGTGTGTGTATGTGTACATGCAAGAGGTGTGTGTATGTGTACATGCAAGAGGTGTGTGTGTATGTGTACATGCAAGAGGTGTGTGTTTGTGTACATAAAAAGACTGACATGAAAAAAACACTAGTATCTCAAAGTAATTTGGTGCTGTTAGAAAAATACTTACTTTTTTCCTAAAGCAATCAACCCATATATAACTCCTGAAGCTATCAACAGGGCACTGCCGCATGCGGTTGTCACAGAAAAACACAGCATTGGTGGTAAAAACGAAGGTCTGGAAAACAAAACAAAAAACTTAAATTATGAATAAAAACAAAAGGGGAAGTATTTTCTTAATATATTTTGAAACCCGCACATAAACAATGGGTAACAACAGATGAATGATTGAGACATATACAGATATTTGTATGCTGGCAACAAAAATTCTGGTTTGCATAACTCTGAGAGCATAGGAAACATAGATGACAGTGTGTGTGTTATGGTTTACAGCTAGGCTGTGATATCTGCGCCCTTCAATCTCATAATCCAATTTCAGCAAACCACTAAAAAGTAATCTTTTCACAGCATACATGCATAGCAGGCTAGAAAAAAAGTGGGTGGTGGTGGAGGTGGGGTCTATTCTTTCCTTCTCAAACACAGGGTCATGGAATCCACAGAAGAGGAAAACCACCATCACTTAGTGACAACTGGTGGTGGAGATGGGGTCTATTCTTTCCTTCTCAAACATAGGGTCCTGGAATCCACAGAAGAGGAAAACCACCATCACTTAGTGACAACTGGTGGTGGAGGTGGGGTCTATTCTTTCTTTCTCAAACATAGGGTCCTGGAATCCACAGAAGAGGAAAACCACCATCACTTAGTGACAACTGGTGGTGGAGGTGGGGTCTATTCTTTCTTTCTCAAACATAGGGTCCTGGAATCCACAGAAGAGGAAAACCACCATCACTTAGTGACAACTGGCCTACAGAAATTTGAGTCTAGCAACATCAGCTCATGTGCCAGTGACGTGGGAAGTGTCTTTTCTTTTACAGTAGTTATATTACTGCATGTGCGATAGTAATAGCTGTACACTTGATACACATCTATAATGACTATTGTTACTCTTGGGTATATGCTGGACAATCTTTTGGAACAAATAACTATTGTCACCCTTGGGTATATGCTGCAGAACCTTCTGGAACAAATTGACTATTGTTAGCCTTGGGTATATGCTGCAGAACCTTCTGGAACAAATGACTATTGTCAGCCTTGGGTATATGCTGCAGAACCTTCTGGAACAGATGACTATTGTCAGCCTTGGGTATATGCTGCAGAACCTTCTGGAACAAATTACTATTGTCAGCCTTAGGTATATGCTGCAAAACCTTCTGGAACAAATGACTTGTCAGCCTTGGGTATATGCTGCAAAACCTTCTGGAACAAATGACTATTGTCAGTCCTAATTAGGTCACCCTTATAATTATGGCTTGTTCCTTCAAAGTCAGAGTGCATCTGCCTGAGTTGCAAGGAACCAACAGGCCGCATACATATAAGCCACATATCTAAAGCGGATGTGCATGCAAAACTCATAAGTTCTGGAACAAAACAAGTTGATGGACTTGCAGAGCTTTCCACCAGGGTTTACAGTCACTAAGCGCTAAGAAGCAGAAGAAGAATTAACTCACAGCGCATACGCTATGGCCTTCTGCCAGTAAGTCCTCCTCTCACTGAATCGACTGATTGGCTGAATGAAGTCGAGAAACTGGCAACAACATGGAGCTTCCATGATGATCACAAAAAACCCAAGCAACCTGCAAGGACAAATGCATTATCAACAAACAGAAAAGAGACGAGATGTTCTCAAACCAATAACTGACAAACACATAATAATATATTCAGGATATATTTTCAGAAAGAAATTTATATAAAAAAAGGAATAGGAACATTGTCTGATAATGAAATGACTCAATCTAATTAGTGGTAGATACATACATACAAACAAACAACATCCCGACCTTTCTATAATAACAGATTTTATTATGCCCAAGACAAAACCTCAATTCTTGAAGCAAAGTGAGTCATCAAAACAAGAATCTTTCATCTATGATTGGACAAAATTGTAATGCTGCCTGGTTAACCACCCCACCCCCACCATTATACTTTGCAAGTAAGAGTTGCGTAGTTATGTATGCAGCAGGGACCAAAGAGTGAACATTAAATTATGTTTTCAATTGGCAAAAGTGCTTTTGCAACAGCTGCACTGATGAGACAGGTTTCTAATGACCAATGATTGCCAAATTCAACATCAAATTCGTCTGCCATTATTCTCACAGACAAAAATCGGTCTTCATGTATCAGTTCTCTAACTCTGGCAATGGATTAATCATTAGAAACAGAAACTGGACGTCCCTGTCTATCTTCACTGATCGTTTCCATGCCAGTTTTGAACTGTGAATACCACATGAACATCTGTGCACAAGATAAACATTACTCCCTACAAACACAAACTCATCTCATCAACATTTTCTCAGTTTAAAACAATTTAATGTTCACTATATGCCCCATGCTGTGTGTGTAACAAGGCAACTTTAACTTCTTCTTCTCTTCCACCTTGTACCTCATCGAAGTGTCGGGGGAAGATATAACATTCATTGATAAGCTCTGTCAAGAGCACTATCAAGACTGATGTTCACTTCTTTAAGGCAGTCCTTAATGCCATCACTCCATATTTTCCGAGATCTTCCACTCACTCTATACCCATTGTAACATTTTAGTGTGGCTCCTTGTGGCAGACAGTGCCAGGGCATTCTTGTTAGTACTTTAACTCTAACTAGCTGAACGAAACTCAGGTTATTTATTATCTGCTGACCAGGCAGTGTTGCAATGCTGTCAAATCACAGATGAATGGTGAGTGTCTGGATGACTCACTCTGCTTCATGGATGGCAGTTTTGTCTTGGTTATAATAAAATCAGTCTCGTTGTTTAATGGCCGGACTGGTTGTACCTAGGGGTAGAATGGTGAATATTTTCTCCACAGCTTTTATATATCTCACCAATAAAAAACTGCAGTCAATCCCCAGAGGAAATTAGAAAACTAAATGTGCAAAATTTATCGTTTCTAGCACAAGCAGCGGTGTATTACTTACATGAGAAGAATTCCTGCAACTAGGCACAGTGGCGTAAATGTTATTACTCTGAATAGACCTGTTATCATTGCACCTGGCAAAATAAATAAAAAACATACTGATTAAATAAATTAGCACATTAAAGAAATTTACTGATAATATAAATTATCTTGTTGTATATCTGCATTTATAGTTTGACTGGGTATCAGCAAATCAAGAAGTGAGGAAAAAGCACAGGATCCACTCTTCTCCATGTGTGTTCTAGGATCCAATTGTAGGAAAAACAAGAATAGATGCACTACCTATCCAAAAGTAGGTCATAAGAGTAAACTACTTATGAGCTGCTTCAGAAGTCTGAGCACATCTGCCTGAGAGGCAAGGAACTGCATACAAGCGAGTCAGATCTGTAAAACAAATGCGCACATAACACTGAGGTTCTAGAACATGGGAAAGACCGGAAGTAGGCGAACAACCAGAACTTTTCACCGAGGCTACAGTCGGTGAACGGGAAAGAAGAGAGAAGAAAGATACTTTTAAGAAAAACCAGTTGATTCTCTAAATGGAAGGTCCTTTCTTTCAGTAGAACCTACAGGAAAATGGATTTTGAAGAAGACCTAAAAAACAAAAAAAGATAGAGATTAAAAACATGGGGAGGAAATGGAAAGAACTGTAAGAGATGGCAAAAGATGGACAGATGGGGATGAGTGGGTTGAGGGTCTGTTCTGTCAAACAGGTGTGGCCAGACAAGAGTGCTATGCAGGAAGCCAAAGAAGAATAAGAAATCAACACAGAACTGATGACATGAGTGGCTACACGCTGCAAGATTTACTAAGGAAGAGATCCAAGCATTTACAGACTGGATGGTTCCATATGAGGATAATCTGTCGACTAACACTGCTTCCTGGTAAGAGCTCCATTTAAAAACATGTCCTTACCCACAGAGGACTGCAGGTAACACTTGGTTGATGTAGCCGTTGTTATCAGTGCCTTAATCTAATTATAACTTCCTTGCAGGTTGAACTGGGTATCTGGGATCTACCTTGCTGGTCTGACTGTCCAGACTTTTTTAAATGTTAGGATGATAAAGTAAACCTTTAGGTAACAGACCGGAGAAGACCAACCGATCGATTATAGTTCTAGTTACTGAGTTGAGTTAGGACTTCGCTTTCAGTGCTTTGTTTGAATCTGCTCCCTGACTGATCATATTCAAATCATTTGGTAGACCAGTAGGTAGACCTAGGACCGGACTAGTTAACGGTAACGCGACCGCAGTGTGAAGACTGACAACGCAATTTAAGAAAAACAACAAAGCAAGTCCGGAAAAGAAGTTGTCATCTACTTACAAATGCCTGCTACAACACAGCAGGTTTTAGCTAGAATCTTACACCACCACGTCACTCCATCGTCGTGCTTGGCCTGCGGGTGGCCACCCTGAACTCCGACATGAGTCTCAACAGCCGAGACGTTTGGCCCGAAGTTTGACAGCTGACTGGTATTCTGTCCCATTCCACTTTGTATCGGTCAGCTGATGTGTGAATGTTTGAATCCAGTAATTGAATTTAAAAGTTCCTAGCTATTTTACTGTATATTTTAAAAACAAAACATATCTGAAGATCCAAGTGGCTTTTCTCCGTTTATTGACTCATCGCTCTAGTGGCCAGGCGTGTGGACGAAATTACTCAATCAAAGCCAAAGTTATGCATACAACTTACTTTTCGTTATCACTAAATCTCGATTAATGTGCACACATGATAGTTATTTATTCGTTAAAAACCCAAACGTTTTCTCTGTCAGAGGCAATTCCTGTGAGTCTAGGGGCTCTATTTAGAAAAGGGGGGGGGGTGGGTTAGAATGGACCTACTTTCTTCCATTAAATAATTAGTAAAACTAAAAGCCTGAAGTATCGCGGACCTCTTTCCTACGCTACTGATTAGGAATCTACTGTGGAAAAGGGAAGAGGATGTGTTGGACAAAAAGATACTCATTTCGCAGCCTTACTGGACAACAGGGCGTGTTATAACCCGACCAGTCCTTTAAAAGCTGAACCCACACTCCACACAGTACTCACTGCAGGTTAGACGGAACTGGTATAGTCTTTAACGGTCCCCCGTTTGTAACTTCTTCGAGGGTTTGACGGGGTTATTTTATCTGGGATCTACCATGCTGGCAGCATTCCACTCTAATTGTTTCTATATCCCAGTGTTATCAAACCTTCAAGTAGCAGCCTATATGGCACGGGCACGCAGAAACAAAAAAAAAACATTTTATAAAGGGCATTCACAATCTCGAAAAAAAAGTAATATTTTAAATCTCTTTTAAAAATTGCATCGCTTGTTACATATTTATTCAATAAATTTTTGTTAAACCTAAAAGCTTCCCTACAATATGATTTTTTACTCCAGTAATGTTTTCTTTTTCCTTTTATGTTCAAAGAAATCCAGCGATTCTACTTTAGTAGAACTAAAATTATATAAACATTGCGTCCAACCTGGCAGTTTATCTTGAAAGTTGTTTTGAGTAGTAGTTTCAAGCAGTAGAAAACAGTCCCATCATCATCATCATCATCCATCATCATCATCGTCTTCTTCTTCTTCTTCACTTCCTCTTTTACCGCTGTGGGTGTCGAGGGAGTTATAAGGTTCTGTTTCTGGCTCTTCTGGCCGCCTCGACCATAGGCACATCGTGCTGTTGTAGTTTCTCTGATGTTATCCTTCCATTTTGTTCTTGGTCTACCTCTTGCCCTTCGACCTTCTTCTCTTTCCATGTATGCTTTGTATGGTATGGTGTCACAAGGCATTCTCTCTAAGTGGGCAAACCATTTCACTTGCTGTCTTTGTATGTAATTTAGAATTAGTTCTGTGCCGACTTTTTCTCTTATGATCTCATTGCTGATCTTATCTCTTATGGTCACTCCTACAGCCCTTCTCAGACATCTCATTCCCATGGTTATTAATTTTCTTTTACGGTTTGTTGTGAGTGACCATGTCTGGCACTGGTAGCACAGAGTTGGAATACATATGCTTTGAATAAGATGTCTCTTTGTGCTGATTGGGATTGTCTTATGCTGTAAGAGGGGAGCTAGCTGTCCCAATACTTGGTTTGCGTTACTGCATCTAATGTTAATTTCTTTATCCAATTTCCTATCTTCGGTAAATGTAGTTCCCAGATATTTAAACTCAAATGCATGTTTAATGCCTTTGTTCTCTATTGCTATGTTTAGATATGTCTTTTTTTTTTCCTATCGACATTACTTCTGTCTTTTCAGTGTTGATTCTCATATTATTTGTTTTACATTCTTCATTCATGGATGTTAGATGTTGTTGCAATTTCATGGCTGTATCTGCTATCAAGGCCTGGTCATCTGCAAAGAGTAATTCGTTGATCTTACTAACATTTTCATTCATGGGCTTGGCATTCTTGCATATACTGTCGATGTAGGTGATAAACAGCAGTGGTGATAAGACACACCCCTGTCTTACTCCAGATGTTACTGTGAATGGATAAGATGTTCCCTGATTTATTCCAACTACACTTCTACAATCCCTGTATAAACTTTTGCACACTTCGATGAGGTGTTCGCTTACTTCATATCTTGCCATTACTTTCCATAATAATTGTCTGTCGACTCTGTCAAATGCCTTCTCCTGGTCTACGAAGGCCACAAATAAGTTCTTATTGTATTTAATGTTCTTTTCTATTAACTGTTTAAGTGTGAAGATTGCATCTGTGCAGCTTCTTTTTCTCCTAAATCCCATCTGCTCTTCTGCCAGCTGTGGTTCTATTACTGGTCTCAGTCTTGTTTCTATTATCTTGGCATACATTTTGCCAACATGGCTTAAAAGAGAGATGCCTCGATATTGACCGCATTCTCGTTTGCTTCCTTTGTTCTTCCACAATGGTATAACTATTGCATGTTGCCAATCAATAGGGGCCGTTTGTTGTACCCATGCTGCATTGAATATTCTGTGAAGCCATCTGATGCTGCTTTCACCTGCTGCTTTAATTATTTCTGTTGGTAATCTATCAGCTCCTGGTGCTTTATATTTGGGAGACTGTTTAATGACTTTTTCTATTTCATCCATTAGTATGTGTGGTTCTAACACTGCTGCTCTGTGCTCTTCAGTTGTTCTTTCCTGATGATCTCCTAGAGGATTAAAGAGCTCATTGAAGTATTCCCTCCATCTTTCTGCTATCTCGGGTGGATCTATCAATGGCCTTCCTGTCTTATCATTAATTATTTCAGTGGGGTTGTAGCTCTCATCTCTTTTCCGCATATTTTTAACTAATTTGAAAAATTTTCTGCTGGCTGTTTTCTCATTTTCTGCTAGTGACTCACCGAAACATTCCCAGGATGCTTGTTTTGCTTTCTTGACACTCCTGTTTGTTTCTCTCCTTTGCAGTCTATAGTTTATATAATCTTCTTCTTTCTTTGATTTTATCCACTGTTTATATAAGTCTTTTTTCTTTTTAATTGCTTCTTTTACTTCTTCGCACCACCAAGGTGAATATTTGTTATTTTCCCGTCTGTTTCCACTCTTCCGTTTTCCACATAATTCTTCTGCAATACTAAGCATAGTGTTTTTATATATACTCCATTCTTCCTCAATATTGCCAACTACATGTGGACGTTGTTTGAATGCAGTCTCTACTTTCTGTTGTAACTGTTCTTTTACTCCTTCCTGTTTCAGATTTGCTATCTTGATGAGATCCTTGTTTTTGTTTAATTTCTTTCAGTGTTTCTTTAATGTAAGATGTTTTGCTGTTAACACAACTATTTTATGGTCAGTGTCACATAGACCATTAGGGATTGCTCTTGAATCAAGAATTCTCCTTCTTCCTTGAACTCTGGTAAGTATAAAGTCAATCTGGCTCTTGATGGAGACATCATTCCATTTGTACCCAATGTAAAGTTGTGAATCTCTATGGTCAAAGAACGTGTTCGTAATAAAAAGATTGTGCTGGCTGCATAGATCCAATATTCTTTGACAATTTCCACTTCTAGCACTGTTCTTAGCTGCATATGGACCTAAAAACTGTTCGTATTCTCTTCTGTTATTTCCTACCCTCCCGTTGAAGTCACCCATTACATATAGTATGCTGCTTCCCTCAACTTTCTTTATCTCATCAGACAGATCGTCAAAGAATTCATCTTTCTGCTCTTCTGTATAATTATCATTGCATGGTGCATATATCTGTATATATGTTTCAGCTGGTTCTCCTCTTTTAATTTTCAAAGTAATAATTCTATCTGAGTGATAATGTATATGTCCGGATGTACCAGGAAACCCACTCCATTCTTCGATGATTCTCCTCCTGCAAATGTTAGTAAGTAGCCTCTGTGTATTTTCTTATTAATATTTCCCTTGCGTCTTATGTCAGCTAGCCCCATTAACTTGATTTTTCATTTTTTCCCATCATTTCAATAATCTCTTCTGTTTTATTTCCCAGGCCAGCGGTGTTAAGTGTTGCAATCTTGTATTTCGCTGTTCTGTCTCGTAGTCCCTTAACATTGCCATGGTCAGATACCGTTTGATCAGTCCGTTTATATCTCATTTTGATTTCTGTAGCGGTAATAAATCCATTGCCGGCTTGCTAGGCCTGTCGCAACTTCACCAGAGCCCCGTTGGCCAGGACGTTTCGGGGTGACCCAGGGTGGCCTTCATGGCTACCGTAGCGGTCCCGTGGCACGAGGCCACACCATACTTCGCCCACACCTAGCAATCCCCTACTTTGTCCTGTTACCACCTCTCACGACGAGGACGTGGGGTTGGCCTTTGAGAGGCGATATTAAGCTTACGGATTAATTAATGGGGAAGTTTATATAAATTATTAATAGGGGAAAAGACAGGTATCGATAACATTGAATTAAATGAGGGGATTGGAGTCGGTTGGGTGGGGGGTCTGCAGTTACTCTGTGCTCATTCACGCACGATCCACATTCTTTGGTGAGTGTAGGAAGGAGGAAAACTGGTGCACATCGTCAAAGCGGAAAGTTTAAAAGAAAGGGAAGCAGAGGGAGACTAAGTTAAAGTGAGAAGATTCTGGACAGAACAGCAGCGTAGCATGGGAGAACAGCTGTATCAGCAATGAGTGAGAGCACACTGAAAGAAGGTTGTGGACATGCATGAATACCAACGCCGCACTGCACGCAACAAGAAGACCCACATGATGTCATCACAAGAGGTGCTCACGCTAATGCTAAGGAAGTGACGCAGCCACAAGCATCTCTGGATGCTGAAAGGAAAGAAACACATTCTGTACAAGGTAGTTACATTGTTTAATAATGAATAATTTAATTTTATCCTTAGTAAAGTAAAGTTCCCTTTCACGCCTTTCGGCGCATCGGGCATGGGCAGAGCGTCCCATATTTTTACAGACCATCAGGACTCTGTGGGTAATTACGGAATTACGCCGGCTGTCTTTACTTTCCCAGGACAGCCCACCCTGGTACCCATTTTAGGGTCGGACTCGCAACGCCTTAGCCACGGACGCCGCTAATTTTATCC